GAACTAGTTTCTATTAATATATAGAGAGTTCTTAATTGCCTTAAAGTCTACTTTTATACGCTACTACTAGTTACTCTACTAGAAACACTCTAGTAGTTAAGAATACTAAGTAATACGTACGAATTTAGATTATAATTAAGGCTAGTAAGAGAATTCTTTATATAATTACTAATAAGTACTTAAGAAGGCTTCTTAAAGCTTATTAAAGAAGCTAAAGAGATACTATATAAAAATATTCTTATTAAAGCCTGCGTATAAGAGCTTAAAGAGTAAGTAGTAGAGTTAATAAAGTATAGAGAGCGTAAAAGAAAGCGAATTTAGATAGGTAGTATACTAGAGTTTAGTGTAGGCGTATTATAGGTAGCTAAAAGTGCTTCTACTACTTATATAAGGTCTAAGAAGAGTAGTAGTAGAAGTAGTTAAGAAAGAATCTAGCTAGCTTAATAACGCTGTAGTAATTATAAAAAGACTAGATATAACGCTTATACATATTAGAAGAATATAGAAGAAGATTCTAAATCTAATATAGCTACGTTATACAAAGAATCTATAAAGAATATAAAGTAATTTTATATTTTATATATAGTATTCGCGATGCTAAGAAAAAGTAGCCGGCTTAGTAGTATAGCTAGCTTAGTAGTGCTTTATATTATAAGTAGAGTATTTCTAAACTATAGCTTTTCTAAAAGAATTAATAAAGTTATAAAGATAGTAATAATAGTTAGTACTAGTAAGAGGTTTCTACTTAGATATAGTAAGATAGAAAGTAAAGTAGCTAACACTACTTATAACGTAAAGCTATTTTAGTTATAAGCTAAGCTTTACTACTATTATATAACTTAAGAATAACTTACTAAAAGAAAAGAGAATAGTATTATAATTTAAAGAAGAAACTTAGAAACTAAAGTTTTATAAATATTAGTATATCTAAAATAATAATCTAATAGCTATAAGTAGTTACGTAACTTACTTAGTACTTAGTGCTCTTAGTATAACTAAGTAATACTAATTAGACTATAAGACTACTTAGTGCTTAGTACTCTTAGTATAACTAAGTACTACTAAGTAAAGTAATACTTATTAAGTTTATAGCTTAGACACTAAACTCTTATAGCTTAGTATATTTAACTTTATATAAGACTCTAGTATTTAATCTAAAAATTATACTTCTTTCTTAACTCTTTATAATATTATATTATTCTACTAAATATACTATTATACTCTTATACTATTATATTAATCTACTAATTATACTAGTATACTACCTTATTCTACTTTACTTACTTACTCTCTAAGAACTAACTCTTAGATTATCTTAAAATAATCTTTACACTAATAGTATATAAGTAAAGTAATTAAAAAATAAAAAGTACTTTAGAAAGAAAAATAAATAGTATATAAAATTATTAAAAGAAAAGCGCTTATAGCTAGACTTACTTATAGTTACTTATTTAGATATTTATCTAGTATACTCTTTTATAAATAAACTAGTATTAGTTTAGATAGTAGAATAAAAGTTTCTATTATATACTTTTCTTTAGAGAGGCCTTATAGAGAAGATAATATACTACTAGTCTAGACTAAAATCTATATATCTACTAGAATACTAGTATAATAGCTATAAGTAGCCTATCTTAAAATATAAACTAAGAAGTCTAATATCTATATAAGTATTTAGATATTAAGCCTAAGTACGTAATAAAAGTAAATAAAGTTAGAAATCTATAAAGATATACTATTAACTAATTCTAATATCTTTAGAAGAATTTAAGTAAGAGTATAGCTATTAGAATCTAAAAAATAGTAAACTATACTTAAATAGAGTAAAGCTAGAGAAAACTTTAGTAAAAGCTTATAGTAGTTCTAATATATAAATTAATTATTAGATTTAGGTATAAAGGTAAAAGACTAATTAAACTATCTATTAGCTAGTTTCTACTAAAGTTTCTTTTAGAATAGTAGTAATATATTTAATTTTATAAAGTAAAGTAAATAATTAAAAGCTTAGAGACTAAAATAGTTTTTATCTATATTTAAACTTTAAATATATAAGAAGTTCTTATTACTTAATTAAATATAAATAGTTAGATAGAATATTATTAGTAGACTATTTTTAGTAAGTAGAACTAGTAATATAGAGTAAACTAAATAAAAAGTTAAAGTACTAGAATATACGCTTATTAGATACTATAAAAAGTATTAGTTTATCTAGATAGTAGAATAGTAGCTATAGAAGTTAGAATCTACTAAGAAATATATAATAACTTACTTACTAAATAAACTAGCTCTAAAAATAAATAGTACTTAAGTATATTACTTATTCTTTATAAAGTAAAGTTTTATATCTAAATAACTTAGAATAAAAGTATAAAAGCTAATTAGTTAAGTTTATAAAATATAATTAGCTATTAAAAATAATATAATAATAGTATATTAGTATTTTATAAACTAATATAGTAAATTTATATAATACTTATATTAGATTACTACTATACGTAAAGCTAATAGATATTAAAATCTTATATAGCTTAACTTATAGTAGTAATTTAATATAATATATTATATTAACTTACTATATATACTATAAGATATAATATTTTATTATAGACTAGCCTTAGAGTTAGAATATACTAAGTGTAAATAGAATATTATAAGGCTTAGAGATTAGAAAGCTATATATAGAATCTAGAGGTTTATATAGTAAGTCTAAATCTTATCTATATCTTCTCTATTCTAGTCTAGGCTTAGGCAAAGTCTAAGACTATTATATATTTATAATACTAAATAGAAGTAAAAAAGTTAAGATAGAAGTAATATAATAAGTATATAATATATAGTATAAAGTATATAGCTAATAAAAGCTTATACTAGCTAGCTTATAAGTAGACTATAAAACTTCTACTTAAAGATTAGTATCTTAAACTAGAAGTAGAAAATTATAGTACTATATATAGAGCTATAGTATAATTTTACTTATTTACTAAAGTAAAATTTATACTCTAGTAAGTTAATAAATCTAAAAATCTATAATAAAGATTTTATAGTAATATTAGCTTATTTATATTTTAGTATATTTTATATTTTCTAGTATTAATCTTAGCTATAATTTATATACGTTTATAATAAATCTATTAAAAAAAGTTTACTTTTATATTTATTTAAAAGCTTTTTTTCTTTTAATAATTATCTAAGAACTATACTTTACTACTATATATTAGATAGATTTATCTTACGTATCTTATCTACGCGCTTACGTGCATTAGGTAATACTTTGCGACTGTCTTATTCCCGGAGACGCTAAATCTTAACAGGCTTAAGAAAACCAACCCGTTCTGCACGTCCTAGATTTCTATTCACTAGCATCCCCCACGGTATTAAACGTCTTTCTTCGCCCGTAGTTGGTCTTTATCGCGATTACCCTGCACAAATGGCCAGTCAACGCGTCGACGCGAAGGAGGTTGCAGACTTGAACACTGTCATGGGTCGCAACCTTCAGACATGGCCTGGCGCGCGCGACATTGAGATACAAGAAGCCACCCTGAATGCTGAAGCTCGCCATCAAGATGCAAGGCACACACACGACAAGCCAAGCCAGCCTGCTCTCGCCCGCGTACTTTCGCGTCGATCGGCAGCTTCATTCGACCCAGGCCCCGCTCCCGATGGTGGCCTCACAGCTTGGACCCAAGTCCTATGCACGCACCTAACTATCCTGACCACCTTTGGCTTCTTCACGTCATTCGGCGTGTATCAGACCTACTACGAAAACACACTCGGCATAGCTTCTTCGACCATTTCCTGGATTGGATCGCTTCAGGTATTCCTTCTCTTCTTCCTTGGCACTTTTACAGGCCGTGCTACGGACGCTGGACTTTTTCGCCCGGTCTACATCGCTGGTGCGTGCTTTCAGCTACTCGGTATCTTTACCTTGGCGGAGAGCAAAAGTGTTTGGCATGTCTTTCTCTCTCAGGGCGTATGTCTGGGAATTGCAAATGGGTTGCAATTCTGTCCGTCCATGGCCCTTGTCTCCACTTACTTTGTCAAGCGTCGTGCTTTTGCGCTGGGCTTCACAGCGCTGGGGTCCTGCACTGGGGGCGTCATATTCCCGGTTATTGTGCAGCAATGTCTCCCCAGCTTAGGCTTTCCATGGACGATACGCATCATCGGCTTTATCATGTTGCTCATGAATGCCATCACCATCGGCTTGTACCGTACCCGGCTCCCTCCCAGGAAAAGCGGTCCATTGGTCGACTGGGCGAGCTTCACGGAACTGCCATATGCTCTGTACTGTGCTGGTGCCTTTTTCAGTTTCTGGGGGTTGTATTTCGCTTTCTTCTACATTGGAAGTTATGCGCGAAATGTTCTTGGTGCCAGTTACCAGCAAAGTATCAATCTGCTTCTCGTGCAAGTATGCATGGGGTTTATCTTTCGCCTACTGCCGACCTACTATGCCGACAAGGTTGGTGGGCTTAACGTTCTTATACCGTTCGCGTTTGTCTGTGGTATCATGATGTTCGTATGGATTAGAATTAACTCCATCGTCACCCTGTACATATTTGCTGTCATATATGGAAGCGGGAGCGCCGTTATCCAGGCGCTTTGGCCTGCGGTAATCGGAAGTATGAGTCAGGAGAGAGATCTGAAGAAGTCTGGGGTGAGGATGGGCATGGCCTTCACCGTGGTGAGTATATCGAGTTTTACAGGTCCGCCACTAGCTGGAGCGATCATCCAGAGCCACAATGGCAACTACACGTATGCGAATGTTTGGGCGGGTCTGTCTTTCTTTGTAGGAGGGTGTCTTTTACTTGCTACTAGGGTGTCGCTGGTAGGCTGGGACTGGAAGGCAAAAGTCTAGAGGTAGCTTGCATCGAGCGTTCCTCGGCCTACCTTTCGTGCGTTGCCGCGATGTGTTCAGGATGACTAGGATTGGGGGGGTACAAGGGAATATGTTCCGTGCGATCTATGGGAAGATCATGACTTGCGACGTTCTTGCACTATCCTTCCTATTTATCCTTGAGCGTAGTGACCCTTGCTAATAGGCCGGGGTCTTCTCTCTCTTTGTCCATCTTGGCATGCCAATCCGCCTCGGCCTTGGCTGCATTTTTGCGAACCCGCGCAGTGTTCCACTTCATATAATAACAGCAAAGCGGGAAGAAGATTGAGTCTACCACAGCCCAGGCAAATAAGATTCCAAAGTTCAAGCCAACTCGTGGATGCAGATCGAACAGGATTGACCGTGTGAGCTCGACGATATTGTGCATCGGCCAACCATAGCCCCAGCGATAAAAGCTCGGTGCAAGCTCGAGGGCATAAAACCCAGTGGCGACATTGCTGATGACCCAGAAAATGAGCCACAACGCCGTCCAAGGGGAGCCCAGCAGCATGGCCATATTCTCGCTCGCAAGGCCAAAAGCAATCATTCCAATCCAATTGCCCATCCAGTATACCAAGAAGGTACCTCTGCCATACGCGTTAGGGTTACCGGCAGGCTGATTGTGGGAGGCAGTAGGACGGTCCATGGGCATAAGGTAGGCGAGGCTGACAAAGGAGTAGACGAGAGAGAGAAAGAAGTAAGATGCGACCGTCGCGATGTAGCGCCACACGATAAGCTGATAGAAGTGCAGCGGTGGATGACCTTTGGGCGAGAGGTACTTCAGATGGATAGGTAGGAAGAACGTAAAGCTAAAGAAGGAGATGATGACTAAATAGCGGTGTAAGATATTAGTATATGTCACATGCGGTTCGTACAGGAACATTGCTCACTCAGGTATATAAGGCCAATGCTAACCGCGGGTGTAGCGATAGGCGGTCCAAAGGGGCGCAAGTCGTTGACGGTGAACTCAATGCCGGGAGAGAGAGCTTGAGGTGCGATGTCTAGGCGCATGTCCGTAACTGAAACGTTGTTCTGGAGAAGATGTGCGATCCACGCGCGGCCAAATTCGGTGACTACGCGCTTCTGGAGGGTGTTAATACTGGGTACAATGTAAGTCGAGGTGGTAATTTGATCGCGCGCCGAATTATAGATGATCTGGCAGGCACCCAAGGGATCGTAGCTCGCGTTCCCCAGTTTCACTGCGGCATCGAGCATTGCTGTGGCGTTGGAATTGATGATGACGGCCGCCCAGGCATGGAAGTCGTAAACTTTGTTGCGTACGTTCAGCGAGTCGTTGTTGAAGTCTTCGGGAGACGCAAAGGTGTAGCCAGGCACCACGCCATCTTCCTCCATAATGCTGCGAACAGTGCGAGTGACAAACGGACCCACGAAGGGTGCGACCCCGGTAAACGGTGGCTGGCCATCGAAGTCTACAACGGAGATGTTCAGACCCCCCACGTTTGCATTTTGACGAAACAGTGCACCCCAGAAAAGGCAAAGAAAGGCCATGATGGCAATGGCGAGAATGAGATTTGTACGAAGCCAGAGCCTGATCACGTGTAGCCTGACACCGGCCATGGACGAGTGAAAGAACCCGGCAGGCGCCTGTTCTTGCACGATCCTGCGGCTACTCTTTGTGCGGCCACGCTGCAGCGTTGTTAGCCTATTGGGAGCGGCGGAGGTGCCATGCACCGTCTCAGTCTTGACACCCGTGGTCTGCTGCTCCAGAGGAGTAGAGCTGGCGGCGGCGGAAGCTTGTATTCCCAGCTCGGACTCGCTAGATGAGCTGGAATCGTATTCGTGATGATATCGTGGGGCGATCTGACATCCAAGTGTGGAATGAGACATGTTGGGCGCTATGATTGATTACCTACTGGACATTTTCACTGCTTATATTTCCTGAGGCCCTGACACTTAGTGCTTGCTGTGGGTTGCTGACGGATGTACGCTAAAGTGACGCTAGTTCATTTGCAGTAAGATTATTCGATGGTTCCGTCTCCAGTGAACGCTACCTACCTATGTAGGTACCTACCTAGGTAAGCTTCACTCCCGAGGTCTTGAGTTACGGCCGATGTGCCTGATGCCAAAATCATCGCTCAGCATTCTAGGTAAACTGATTCGAGCTATTTGAACGGTTCAGTAGAGTTTCCGCTGTGTGAGCCCAACGATCAGAGCTGCGCGTGTGGTTCCCAGATGGTACGAAACCCGAAATCGGTATAGCTTGGTGGCTGACATAAGCCCGGGAGAATCCAGGAACCACCTGAGCACGGATCCGCTCAATCGCGCCACATGCCAACCGCCCAACTCTCATCATGACGGACGCGGACACCTGTGGCTTCAATTACTGCCTTTGCGGGGAATCGGGCCTTCGGTGCATCGCTTCAGACCCATCTACAGAATAGGCATGTCGGGCAGGGGGCGCAGAGACGGTCGCAGCGCTAGAGGTGGCAGAGGACGAGGCAGAGGCAAGACGCGAATAGTATGCTACCGCCAAATCGCGAGACAATCGTGAGACAATCGCCACAACCAAACACTACTAAGATATGCGCAGTGGGAGTGGGAAGCATACACGCCTGGCGCCGAGGTGTACGACCAGTTATGGCGCGTTCGCAAGGAGCCTGCCACTGTCACCGCACGACTACCTAACGTCTGCCCTATGTCGAATGCACGAACGCGAATACTCCATCGCCGACAGACCGAGGACCGCTTCAAGCGGGAGCTATACACCGTAGAGGTCACATATACGGGCGGACCGGGGAGTGCACGGGACGGTATTGCCCTTACACAGCTTGAGGATGTGGACCTGCAACGCATACTGCAGTTCGTTTCTCTAGCTGAACTGGAACGATATGAAACTGAGCAGTTCAGGCTCGAGGCAGAGGCAGAGGCCATTGCTATGCGCACCGAGGCCGAAGACCTGGCGCGTCGCCAACTGCGAAAGAATGCCAAAGGACCAAACGCCAGCAAAGGGAGCCGCGTGCTCAGCGCGCTCGCCTTCTCTGTAGAGCCGACCCCACGTTCACAGGGTCGACCGAGAGCCACACGCGGAAAATGCAGGGGAAGGGCGAGAGGTGTAGAGCCAACAAGAGGCCTCGTCGTAAGCTCCCGACAGCTCAAGAACGACATGCACGAGCAGCTGGTAGACAGCGAACCTATGGTGTTCGATCGTACAACCGAACACATCGGACAACCCACGCAGACATCGCCCAACACCACACGCTCAGCTTTTGTCGCCAACAGCGCTCTTTCGGTATCACCAATACCCAGGAGAGTATCCATCTCTGTCCCTCGACGGGAACTTTCAGAAGTTTCCGAACCTTCCGAACCAGAAGATGTGGACTACTTAGCGCTCAGCGACAATGATGCAAAATCTACAAGAGGCGACTTACCATCGCTCGCAATCGAGGTTGGGAATGCGGGCAGCAGTAAAGATCGTCCGTTCTCTAGCCCATCCGGGATCGAGAGCACTCTTCCATGTCAACTTCACCCCATCGTACCCGCTTTTTCACCGTCTGCTGATAACGTGCTCCAAGAAGCTCCAACGGCAGCTCCATTTTCCGCGCGAGACTCTGGCTCCCCAGCTCCATTGGATTCCAGAGTGGCGGACGTCTTTCTGCAGACAGCGTCTTCCTCTAATTATTCAGCGCTTGCTGCATCAGACCAAGACAACATAATACCCCCACAACCCGCTTCGCCGCAATTTGAATCGGACGGATACGTCGGCAGCCAAATAACATCTATGCGCACATTGTATCCGGGACAACAGTCGCTCGAACACAACAACGAAGACGATGCAGAAGCGGATGCAACGGAAGAGTTTGCTGTAGAGGCCATCGTGGCGCATTTTCACGAGCACGAGAAGAACTACTACCTCGTCAAGTGGGAGGGATACGAAGACAGCCATGATTGGCTTCCTGAAGAAGATCTTGAGGGCGCTGCAGACCTGGTCACTGAATACAAGGAGCGGATTGGATGGAGGAACAAGAAAGTCGAAATAAGATGACATGATGTAGCGAATGGGTTGAATGTAGATATGGGCTTCAATATCTTAGTTGGTCGTCAGAAGACCAGGCATGTTGCCATGTCCCAATGCCTCATCTGCACCGTATCCATGTGCCTGCATCAGACGTTTCGAATTCCATCCACAGGGCCAGTTGAAAGAGGAGTGCGTCTCGGACAGACCCGTGTGTTGATCTGCTTACGTATATTGACTTACCTCCCTTGCTTGTTTCAGATCTGATGATGTCGTCGCAGGATAATGTGGTTCGTGGGGCAACAAAGCTCGTCCCGGTGAACTCGTCAACATTGTAAGTTTGCCACACTGCACACCAACAAGATCGTCCCACCGCGTCATGCTCCTCATCTTCAAGTACTAGTTCCAGGTTCCCATGACGCCCAGGTGAACTCCGAGACGCTCCAAGGATTAGACATGACGCGAATTGATCGCGCCACACTGCAATGGTCCGCTAGAACCTTGGAAGCGGGCTGCAGCCTCCCGAGCTCTGAAGCAGATTGATGATCAAGGCCTTAACAGGCTCATAGCAGACTAGGGTGTAAGTTGGTGTATACATTAGATGTAACATATGCAGAACGCGACCGGAGTTCTATAAGCCGCCGGAGCGAGTGCTCACAAGTCAAACGACACGTGACGCGATGTCTCCAGGGTTCAGCCGAGGTCGTGGCTGAGCTGCGACATGCAACAACACAACACAGCGACCACCGTCACTCTTGTACGCGACACAAGCATGTCGTCTTCTACGCGCTACGCCTACCCCTTTGCCGCCTCTCCCGACATCATTCGCTCGCACCAGAAAGACGCCTACTTCTCCGGCGTGCTTCTCGATCAGCTCTCGACGCTGTTGCGCAAGCTCTATGGCGCGCGCACGTCGCATACGTATGCGTCCGAGACGCGTGTAGCCGGAGAACTCCTTTACCTCGGTCTGACGACGCTGATAGGGAACCGGACCCTGGGCGAGGAATACACAGACATTGTCCAGGTGGAAAGCGAAAGCGGACGCCTGCCGGCGCTGGGCCGCAGAGCTGGATACATACTTGGCTGCATCTTGGGGCCATATGTGCTCGGGAGGGCATTGCCGGCCTTCAGGCGGCGAGTGCGCGCAAAGCTCGAGGCGAATTTGCGGTGGCATGCACGACAACAGGCACGGGCACAGCATCAGGCACAGCAGAGTGGGAGCAAGACACAGATAGGGCGACCGTTGGGCATGCGCGTACAAAACTACCTACTCCGAAACCTCGACACCATTACATCGCCATCACCCGTGTACGCTCTCTCGTTGGCAACGTTTTACTTCTCCGGGAGCTACTACCACCTGTCAAAACGGATATGGGGGCTCCGGTACATCTTCACGCGCCAGGTGACCGAGGGCGACAATCGCGCAGGCTACGAAGTCCTGGGCGTATTGCTAGTCCTACAGATGGCTGTACAGGCTTACCTACACGTGCACAATACTGTCACCTCTTCGACAGCGGCAGTGGGTGGCGGCCACCCGCAAGGCACGTCGGCCATTGTCGGTGGCGGCGCAGAAGTGTCTCTGGATCCCAATGCTTACAGCGCCAACAACGCGCTACTATTCGACGCAGCGTCGGCGGTGCCCACAGCGGCGCCGTCCGACGTGCAAAAGTGGACACAGACACCAGCGTTGGACAAGGCAAGATACGAGCTGGAGGATGAGGAAACAATGGGATGGATTGGCGGCGGCAATCGGAAATGTACGCTGTGCCTGGAAGAGATGAAGGATCCGAGTGTGACGACGTGTGGTCATGTCTTCTGTTGGACGTGTATCGGGGACTGGGCGCGGGAGAAGCCCGAATGCCCGCTTTGTAGGCAGACGTGTCTAGTGCAGCATGTGCTCCCGCTGAGAGGGTAGACGGGTGGCGTGTACAATCACAATATCTTCTCGGCCTCATCTATCAGTCGCTCTACCTGGAATGCGCTGTCTCCGCGGGTGAACATGTCGAGAAGCTGGCTGCGGCCCTTGCCCTCTTCCGTCTGCACGTAGAACTTCTGCATGCACATGACGAGCCATCTGGCGTCGTCGACGGATACGCCCCTGTTCTCAGTGACCAAGCCCTGGCCCAGGACCAAGTTGTGGGTCTCGGCGAGCTCGTGGTGGAAGGTGACGGTGGTGTGGGGACTGGCGAACTCGCCCCTGAGCTTGAACTCTGCCAGTGTCGTGAACATGAGCGTGGTGGTATCGACGTGCGGGTGGGAGAACTGGAGATAGTGCAGCTCGGCGGCTTGCTGCGTCTGAGGCGGCTGCTGCGAGGCCGATGGGGCGTCGGCGGGTATCTCGCGGGGGACAGGGAGGACGAACGAGGGGTGCTGTTTGGCGCTGCGAAGGAGCTGGGAGAAGGTGGTGGCGGGGACAGCGAAGTGGATGCTCTGCGGGTTGGCAGCGTGGCGTAGGCGCCACAGGGCCTGGACTTCCTTGCTGGGGAGCGCCTGGACTTTGGCGAGGTCGAGGAACGAGTTGAGCGTCTTGACGCCCGGCGGCGGGGCCGTAGGAGAGCCTGGCGCAGCGGGCGGCGGCGGCGGAGGTGAGGGCCAGGGAGTCTCGGGCGGCGGCGTCAGGGGCGCGGTTGCGCCGGGCACCATGGCCTGCTTGCGCAGCTCCTCGATCTTGTCCTTGTACTGCTCCTTGAGCTCGTCGAGGTCCTTGAGGCCCTGTTGGCGCGCCTTGTGCTCGAGCTTGTCCCGGTACTTGGCGAGGATGCGCTCTTGCGAGTCGTGCGTGGCGAGGAAGCGGACGTCGTGCACCTGCGCCCAGCGGCACTGGACGGCGCGCGGGCTGGCGAGCGGCTGGCGCAGGGCGTGACGCAGCGTGGGG